AATGAGAGAAAGCGAGAGACAGACCAAAACAAAGACAGAGAGAGAGCAGAGAGAAAGAGAGACATTGGATTCTTTAAAAAGTGACTAAGTACGATAGGGAGACCAATCGCTACGAAGTATTTGATGAAGAACCCAGTGACGACGAAGACTTAAGTCATCAGCAATAGAAAGTCACTGCATCTTTTATTATCTTGTTCCCAAAGAAAGAAGATCATGATGGACCATTTGCCACACTTTTCCTATGGCTCAACCTGCCATCACTGCACTTGATCCAACGAAGCAGAAAAAACTAATTGGATTGTTGTAAAAATAACTATGTGCGACAAAAGCAATCGCTACAAACTGATTGATGAAGAATTGGAACATCAACAGTACAAAGTCGCTGCATCTTATATTATACTATTCCCAAACAAAGAAGATCACGATCAACCATTTGCCACACTTTTTCAATTTCTTTATTGTTTTTGCTTCAATCACTCTTATTATGTAAATGTATCTCTCTTTCTTCCTCTCTCTCACTCTCTCTTTCCAATTGCAATTTACCTAAGAAAAAAAAAAAATAGACAGAGAGAAAAAGAGAAAGACAGAGAATCTTATTGCAATTTACCTAAGAGAAAAAAAAAATAAACAGAGAGAAAGAGAGAGAGAGAGAGAGAGAGAGAGAGAGAGAGAGAGAGAGAGAGAGAGAGAGAGAGAGAGAGAGAGACATGGAATTCTTGAAAAGTAACTAAGTACGACAGAAACAGCAATCGCTACGAAGTGATTGATGAACAACCGACTGACAACAACACAACCCATGAAGTACAAAGACACTGTATCTTCTATAATACTATTACCAAAGAAGGAAGATCACCATCAAATGCCTAAGTTTTATCTCAAAGCACAAGTGCTATCAAGTAACAACAATCAATACCACCACCACCACCACAATCGACAACAACATATACATGGACTTCCCCAAACACAGACAGAGACAAAGAAAGAAAGAGAGAGAGAAAGAGAAAGAGAAAGAGAAAGAGAAAGAGAAAGACAGAGAAAGACAAAGAGAGAAAGAACAACAGACAAAAAGAGAGAGAGAGAGAGAGAGAAAAAAAAAAAAACAGACAGACAGAGAGAGAGAGCTTATCCAATTATTTTATATATTTTATTAAACCAAACTCTAATTCTAAGACAAACGACTTAACAACCATTTGCTGCGCTTTTCTTATGCATCAACCTCCCATCACTGCACCTGATCAAGTTCCAACAACAAAGACAACAACACATTACAATGCCACACAATTTCATAAAATTATTTTGCGATATACACCTCTTTCTTTAGTGATTTTGCATCAATGACTCTTATCAAGTCGCTGCAGCTACCTTAGGGCTGCGTTCCCCGCGCCCACGCGGTATACAATGAGATATGGATTTGGACGTGATTGCTGTCAGATGCATCCTAATTGCAGTCAAAGACAGTTGGGAGCTCCCCTCAGCAGGAGTTCGCAGCCCTTAGGCTGCGGTATAGTGGGCTTCGGCGTCTGTGTCAAGGTGTCGCATTTTTGGCGGCGGGCGACCAGGATGCAAGTGGGTTTTT